TGCTGTCTTTATTACCTCTTTAGACAATAGACCAACAAGAGAAAAGAGAAAGGAATCATTACATTATACAAACTTCTACAAAGTATAAATTATAACTACAATATACAAATAAATACATATGGCAGATGACTATCACAATAACATGTTTATATGAAGACTGCCTTTGCCTCTATATGCTATTTTATAATAATCAATTAAACATTTGTCGTAATTTCTTACTTACTTTTTCAATGGATCATATCTATACGATAAAGAAATATCTTTGCTTTGCCCTGTAATGTGCTATATATGAAACTTGCATTTCGTTCAATAAAAAATCTCTTGAAGATGGAATTATGTTTATAATATTTCTAATTAAATATATATTTCTTTTGTTGTCTTTATAATAGCTCAATAAAACTGCTATTAAATATAAATAGCAGTTTTATTGAGTTTAGTAACTGAAAATTTTAATTAATTCTTCATTGAATTTAGTATGTAATTACACTTTATTTTCATTAAAAACTGTTAAAATATTTTAGAGGAAAAAATGCTTTTTTTTCAGGAGATTAAGACAAATTATTACCTTAACATAAAGTTACCGGACATTCCAAATTAAGTGGAATTGTTCCACTCTTTAATATGATCTTTTAATTTTAAACTGTCTCAAAAAATTTGCTATTTTTGAATTCAAAATTAGCTACTATTCACTGCATAAATTGTAAGTAATAGATGGCTCACATACAAGTTATAGTGTAAAAATTTCAATTTGAAATTTTTACACTATAACTTGTATGTGTAAATAACTAACATAACTAACACTATTTATAGAAACAGTAGCTCAATTGGCAATTTATTGCCCACCAGCAGCCCATTGTTCAGAAAAGAAAAATACAATATATACTCTGATCAATTAGTCTGGCTCATTCAGAAAAATAGAGTACTTATTTAGAGCAGGGATAATAAAGGAATGAATCAAACATATTCAAATTCAATTGGGTCAAAATAATTTTACTACTAAATACAAATACTACAAAGAAAACTATTGATACATATTTAATAAATAAATTGTTGCATTTTGTATTTAAAATAAATTATTTATAACAAAATACAAAAACATTTTTAAAAAATTAATAAATATAAAATAAATTTTCTTTTATTTAAATAAAAAAATTTAATTTAATTTAAGATGCCATTGTCGGAGTTGGAATCGACACATTTTTCCTGACTCCGACTCCACAGCCCTGCTGCTATGATCCAATTAGTGGGTTGTCATAAAATATCTGCCACACTGCCGATAACATTTCACAGTCTGGCAATTGACACACTCTCTTTATGGAGACTTTATGTAATTCTGATTCTATTCTTCTTATACATTTCTCATTGAAGATTTTTTGTTAATTTAGCTTTCTCTAAAATTACCATTATCCCAGGCTCTGTAGCTTAACAGACTAAAGCCATAACCAGTTTGTTGTGAGAAATGTTACAGATTATTCTAGCTTTCTAACATCATCAATGATGCCACAAAGATAGAAAACCACCAGTTGGCAATCACATGACTCATTCAATGTCATGTTGATGTGGATTTTTACATCTCAGGATCTGGTCATTTTACTTCAGCTGTACTATATTCTACAATAATTCTTAATAGATTTTTTTAATACTTTTAAATTTATTTCGTAACTGACCAAGACACAAATTTCACAGAAAATTGTCTTTAATATTATTTTTATTTTTCACAAATTTACTTACAGCTGTGCATTTTTTTATTATACACAAAAGTATTTTAGAATTTTTACTCTTTCCTAACATATTCGAGCCATTACTGCAGTTAACGATCCAAAAATTTAACAAGTAAGTGTCATTTGTCAATGGAAATGCTAAAATGTCCTTTCCTTTCTTTGACAATTGAAATTGTCTTGCCGTAAATGAAATTGTCTTGCCGTAAATTTAATTAATTTAGGTCAAGTATAACAAGGAATAAATATAATGGTTAATAAATAAAGTTTTGGAATAAAACTAGACTCAATTAAATGTGGAGATGTAATTTTTAAACTGTTTTTGTTAAATATTTGATTAACTTAAAGTATTAAAAAGTGACTAGATTTATTTTTAAAGTTTATAAATTCTCATTTAATTTGAAAATTTATTACAGAATAATGAAAAATGTTCAAATTATAATCAGTATTTTATTAAACATTTAATTTTTTTTAATATTTGTTTTAAATATTTGATAATTTTGCCAGCTTTTCCCAATAACATGAATATTAACAATTGATATTTAGTCAATAATTTAATTATTATTAACATTGGCATTGGTATCACTAATTAGTGATAATTTGTTCATTTTTAATTTTGATTTAGTTTGGTAGACTACACTATTCTGTTTTTTTGGATGATTCCTTTCTTTTAATGTACAGTACTTCTCTTCCTGGAACTCGTGTATTTTTTGAATTGTTGTGGCTTGTACATTGAGTGTAATGTTTCTTTCTATCTTGCTAATGTAAAAAATTAATACCCAAAACATTTACAATCCAGTATATTTGTTATTACACAGAACAGAGTTTCTTAAAATCACTATTGCAATACAGTAATACTTTGACTTACACTACCCCAACTTACGCGAACTCGGAGTTATGCGATTTTCAAATCTCGTCGATTCATCTTTTGTTTGAGTGCCATGCAACTCTTGATTACTCATTCCCCCCACTCTATTGTTCAGCTTACATGTTCGAACGTGTTGCACGGAATCGACACATAGCTAAAATTTATTTTGTGTTATTTATTTCTGTGTTTGTTATGTCTATGGAGACTTGAGAGACTCTATGTGGTGATTTCTTGTAACCGTGAACGAATGAAAAGACATGATAAGATTAACAAGAACATTTATTAGCTTACATACATCTGACTTGGATTTTACTCAAATTGCGAAATTATACCTCGACTTACGTGGTTATCACTCAGTCCCACCTATTGCGTAAGTTTGGGGTATTACTGTATTCTATAAAAAGTTTTGATGATGATCATTGTGTTTAGTATTTTCAATGTTCCTATTCTTTCAAAGTCTTTGAATGCTGGACAAGCCTGCATGATGCAGTTGAACACGTTATGCACATCTGATGGAGTTTGAGAAAGGCCACGTCATCAAGCTGAGGAAAGCAGGATGATCGTTTTCTGAATTTCTTACCAACTGCCACCTTCTGAATTTGGATCATTCTAACCTGACTGCAATGAGGTTTTGGAGACAGTGGAGTCCTTATGTTTCAAAAAATATTTTTAAACTTAAATGAGCTAGTATGTTTGATAAAAGGATTCAACAAGCTTTATTACCTAAATTTAAACAAACTTGCACATTTGAAATGAGCATTTTACACTTCAATAAAGTTAAATTAAAATTATAAGTAAAAAACAGTTAGTAAACATTAGTGCAGGAAGTAGTATTACAATACATCAATACGTAAAAGCATCTGGGTGTGTTTGTTGAACTGTTCCAGCTTTTGAAGTTATATTAGAGCCAAAATTAGTAACATGCACAACATAAGAATCATACAAACATGTAAATATATACAAAATAACAAATACATATCACTAGACAGTAACAAGTAAGTATATGAATAGTGAGCTGAAATAAAAACCAGAAATCAAGTTTAACAATCACACAACTAAATAAAAGCAATGAGTAATAACATAAACATAAAGAACAACATAAGAAATACATTTCGTGGATAAGAATGAAATAGGGTTTTGGTGAACCTAGAATAAATTAGCCTGATGTAAGTAAGGAGCAACACAATATGAAGTGTGAGACCAAACACAAAACTATTGTAACTACGTTCACACTAATAAAGTTTTATTTGATTTCAATGCTTATTTTTTTTGTGTGTAAAATGAAGATGTGCAAATACCATTATATGTATGCCTATGTAAATATATGGATCTGTGTATTAACCTACAGGAAACTTTCTTAGACCAACCCATAGTTATCTAGAGTTAGGAGGAGTTCTGTTTCAGTCAGTCTAGCAAACTGCAAAAACAAGATTCCATGTTCAACTATGCCAACCTATGTATTTTTCCAGCAGTGAAGTAGATGATTTTCAAATGTTTTTGAGTACATTCACTAGTCTGCTTCAGGTTTAATGTAACTTCTTATTTTTCAAAAAGATTCCTGTTTGATGGGTGGATAATAAAGCTTTAAAATCTAATATAGTAATCCAGAAAGTGGCAAATTGTGAAGAATGTTGCAGAGTTTCTTATCAGCTGTAGTGAATTGGTTAGTGTAAATTGGTACATCCCTTTAAGTGCATGACTTGGAGTTCATGGATGACTTGCTCCAACTTACGGGTAGGCGATTTAGCTTTGTCTAGGAGGTCCTTAACTGCTTTCCTTGATTGTGTGTTTTTGTATAGGCAAATAGTTGAGGCACAGCTGGCAAGACTACTGTCACCTTATCCAATGTCAATAATTCAACCAGTGGAATAGTGTAAATCTTGGAACTCTTGGACTCTATGAAGTCTTTTTCAACCATTTCAAATTGAGTGTCAGCAATATATCTTTGTAGCATAGTGATATATGAGTCATGTTTCATCAAGACTACTGACTTATTTTTGTTTGCTTTTAAGAGAGTGATATTCCAATTGCTATACTTTCCATTTATTATAACAGAGTTGGGAAAGTAATAAGGAAAGAAGCTAGGGCTCTTCTAGACAAAGTCTCATTAATCTGAACTAATTGTGGAGTTATTTAAATCAGTGGAGGCAAAATACAAAGAAAAGGAAGTCAAAAATGACTACAGAAAAAATACATGTATTAATACATTTAAAACTTGTTTCTACACTTTTTTTTTTCTATTATTATTCTATTTGATATTAAGTTTACTAATTTGATTAATTAAGATTTTATGTAGTAGTCATTAAACATTTAAAATAATAAAATATTAATATGATATTGCATTTACATAGAAAAATGTATTATTATTTATTAGTTTTCAAATATGAATGAAAATTTTGTAATTTTATTTTCAGGCATTGGTATCTTTCTTTATTTTAATTTATATTCATTTTGCCTTCATTCGTTCACCGATCAAATGTCTCGACGAGTTGCACAATAACTGGCCGAAAGATGGGATCCTGCGCATCGAAATCGTACGGCACGATAACGACAAAGCTTTCGTCGTCAATGACAATTTAATAACGCCGGAGGAATCGATGGACTTTTCTGTCGGTTTAAATTACACTTCCGTTTTTATGGATTTAGTTACGCATATAGATAGCTCTGCTCCTTCAAAAGGTGGGAATATTTCAATTTGTTTATTTCTCTCAATTAATCTTATCAATATTGTAATGTTTGGTTCATCTTGTTTATATTAAATAGTTAATTTCAATTAATATAAACAAGATGAATATATTATATATAATTTATACAGAATTGAATATATATTACATACAATTTATAAATTTATTTGAGATTACTGATAAATAAAATCTGTATTTAAGTTGATAAGGAATTTTTAAAGTTGACAGTTAAAATAAATAACATTAGAGCATCATTTATAAGAGTTACGGCCCATGTATTGAGAGTTTCAAACAAACTTGAGATACATATGTTTCAGAAGAATGCTCACAGTAAGCATAATGTATGATTAAAAGAAATATGCATAATGCATACAGTTCTTCATATTCTCTATTCAAAATCTGTCAACAGTAGTACAAAGTATAGTAAACCTTTGATTTAACAGACAATTTCTGTTCTTAAGGACAAATTTAAAACCTTTTTTTATTCATGAATAGTACTTGCTGAAAGATTGGGTCAGTGAACACAAACTATTCATTTTACATCATATTATAATAACATTTTAATGCATCCTGTGCATTATAATTTTGTTATTTATGTTTTCAAACTGCATTTAATTTAATAAACTTTTGAAATAAGTTAGCAGTCAACCATTTTCTCAATCTGTTAGATCAAGTATCTACTGTAAAGAATATTATAAAGAATTTTACCGTGAAATGATGGCATAATAAATAGTAAATTTTACTTATTTTAGCTTCACTTCCAGTTAAACAAGTAAATGTAAATGAGCATAGGTGACTGAAGATAATATACCACTCATACAAAGACAAAGAATACATTTGTAAGTTGAGATAGAATTTATAACAGTTATTATATTAAGTGATTGAAGTGAAGTTTATGACTCAAAAGATGAAGTGTTAAAGTTAATTTTTGTTGAAGGATGTTTTTTATGCTGGCTTGTGACAGAGTTGATTAAGAATTTTTATTCTTGTTTGGATTTAAATTAAAATTTAGTTATATCCATGATTATCCATGATAAACTTTGGAATTAGTTTTAATCCTGTAAGGTTTTTATTACTGAGGTTTAACAGTTGCGATTTAAATTTTTCTGGTTGCCAGAGTTAGAAACTAAGTAATGGTTGTTTCCTAACAGAAATTACAGATTTGGTATTTTTATAGAGAGATTGAATTGTATGGTCTTTTAATCTTTGGTAACTTATAGTTTAAGTATTTGAGCATTTGCATTTTTACCATGACCTTACAATTTAACATTTATTTTGGATGTCATCAGTTTGTAATAAGAAAATTATATATTTATATATTATTACGATTTAACTTGAAATTACATAACTTTATCGTAATTTTCTGACAACATACATAAATATAAGCATATGCTTTACAATAAAGAAGATCACTGAAACAGTGTTTTAAACATTTTGAAAACAAGTCTCATCTTTGGATTTAATGGTCTTGAGATTTTTACACAAATGTTTGTTATATATTGTACAGTAATACCTCAACTTACGCTACCCTGACTTACACAAACCCGGAGTTACGCGATTTTCAAATCTTGTGAATTTGTCTTTTGTTTGAGCGCCATGCAACCCTTGATTATTCTCTCCCCCCGCACTATTGTTCAGCTTACATGTTCGGATGTGTTGCATGGAATCGACACATAGCTAAAATTTTATTTGTGTTATTTATTTCTGTGTTTGTTATGTCTATGGAGACTTGAGAGACTTTATGTGGTAATTTCTTGTAACCGTGAACGAATCAAAAGACGTGATAAGATTAACAAGAACATTTATTAGCTTACATACATCTGTCAAATTGCGAAATTATACCATGACTCTTACGCGAATTCGACTTACACGGTTATCGCTTGGTCCCGCCTATCGCGTAAGTTCGGGGTATCACTGTATTGTTATATTGATTTCAATGAATTTCTTTATTGTAAAGAATATTTTTAACTGTGTGATGAATTAAATTTCAATAGTATGGTGATAATTTCATACATTTTATTATTTTTTATAGTATAAAGGAATTTGTTTACAGTATCATTGCAAAATAATCTTACTTTAAAGAATCTTAAAGCATTTGTTTGATTTTAACATTTTGAATGCATTTTTATTTTAAAATCTGTTATTTAAATTGCATTTTTTAATATTTTATATTGTTAAAATACAGTGTCTTCCAATAAAGAATGCTATAATTTTAAATTATTGTAATTTTGTTAATTATTATCTGACAAGTGAGAAGTATGCAAAGTACATCAAACAGTAGAATCACTGTTCAAATTTCATCTCTTTCCTACATTCAAACATCTTGTGTATTACCTCTTGGAAGCACTGCAAACAAAAATGAAAGCTCTGCAACAGGGATATTTTTGTTCTGAAGTTTACAAAGGTAGGCTGTAGGAGCTGTATTCTTCAGCCCTGCATTACTTGTATTGCATAATGAGGAGTGATTTTTACTTTGCAAACTGCAGAACACAAAATATTTTCTCTGTTGACATTTGCCATTTTTACTTATGGCACCTAGAAATAGTAGGTGACAAGACATTTGAAGGCAGATGAGAGATAAAACTTGGACAGCTGCTCTATTGATTGATGTACTTAGCATACTTCTTGGATAATAATTAACATAATTACAGTAATTTAAAATAGTAGCATTAATTTTGGAAGACCATGTACAGTAGAGCCTCGAAAACTCGGCACTCGATAACCCGGCCACACCTTGGCAGGGCAAAAAAATCCTTAGTTAATTAATTTTCATTATAGACATCTTTATGCCTCATAAAGTATTTTTCTGAGGTCTGTCTTATCAGGTAAATTACTGTACACAGTGTATTCATTAATTTTCATTTTCATGTAGTAAAGGCTCTATGCCTTTATAAAGGATGTACTTTTCCTTTGTTTAAGGGTATTTGGACAGTTTATTCTCTGTTGTATTCTCAAGCAAACAATACATACAAGTACAGTACAATATTTTCTGAGGAAACACTCATACTTATTTTTTTTAACCCCATTCCCGATAACCCGGCATTTTCATAAACTCGGCCACCCTTCGGTCCACATTAGGCCGAGTTTTCGAGGCTCTACTGTATTTAAAAATATATTCTAAACATTGTGTGAATACGAAAGTAGTAAAATATTGATTAAAATGCTGAGTGAGTGTTGGAGAAACAATGTTTTTAGGATAATATCAATGTTGAAAAGATGAAATAGAATTTAGTTGATAATTAAAAAAGATGTGAATATTTTGATTTTCTTGAGTAATTCTTAGTTTTTTTTTTTAATTGTGATTATAACAGTTTTATTTCAAAGTGTCACAAAGATTATTATTATTATTTGTTTTAGATTGGTCTAATAGTGAATATATAATGGAATATTCTTTGGAATATGGATTTTTAAGACTTTCTCCTAGTGCCAGAAAAAGATTAAACATTCCTGTTAAAGTTGTTGTCTTAAGTAAGTAATAATTTATGATATAAAACAAAATTTATGGCTAATTATGATCTAAAAAATCTATTGCAAATTATTGTAAGTTGAACTATAATTTTTAATAGCTACAGAATTGTAGATTTTAGTTTTTTCAAAAGTATGTAAAGGAATTATCAATAATAATTCTTTTACATACATTTTAGTACATTTCATATTTTTTTCTCTTTTTAATTTCACATTCCCATTATCACACACATGGAACCCAATGATTATATACATGCTAATATTTTTATAGATTTTACTACTATCATCATTTTGTATGTCATCGAATCACACTATAATATTACTAGTTAATTACTCCACCTGTCTATAATCTCTGTCAAACTGAAGAGGGACTTGGCCCGAAATGCATTGTTGACAAAACCACAGGACAGTAAAGAAGCTTCTTAAACAATGAATGACTCCTTGTGTGATTGTAGATCTTTTTAGAGCATCACAATATCTCTGTATACACTTGATTTATATATATATATATATATATGAAGCATATTAAGATCTTGTTACAGTTGAGCATCGATTATCCGACCTTCGATCAACCGTCACATTGGTTAACTGACCATGTTATAGTTGGCAAATTCAAATGTCTGCTAGTGATGTGGCGCTACAATATTTGGCTATGTCTTGGCTACTTTAATATTATTTTTGTTAAATGTCTGCGTGTTTTAGCTGGCAACACTGGCTTAACCATGAAAGGGAGGCCAGTATTTAAACAAGGCTTAATTTTCTGATTATGAGTGGTGGTTTGTTTTGTGTGGATTTTTCTGAGGACTGTGTGTTGTGCTGAATCGGAATCCATTTTCATCAGAGATATAAATTTTGGATCTGTGAATTTTACACTTGTAACAGATTTTATCTGTAGTAGTTGTACCATTTGCAATGGCGACTAAACGTAAACACGTTCTCAGTGTTTCCGATAAACTTAAAATAATAGATCAGTTGAAAAGTGGTGCTAGTAAATTAAGCTTAGCTTGGGAATATGGAGTTGGAAAAACCACAATAATAGACATTAAAAAATTTGTAAGTTACTTGATAGTGAGGATGGAAGCTTGCACAGAAAAACCATGAAAATGGCAGAAAACAAGGATTTGGACACTGTAGTTTACACTTGGTTCATGCAGGTACATAGCCAAGGACAACCAATAAGTGGCCCTTTGATTTATGAAAAAGCTCTTAAAAGAAACTAGGGGGTAATGCTGATTTTCAAGTGAGTACTGGTTGGCTAATGCATTTCAAATCTAGGCATGGAATTAGGGAATTGGACATCCAGGATGAAAAATTGTTGGTTGATACTGAATTAGCTGAACGTTTGAAAAAGTCTGAAGTCAAAAAGCATCAGCTTAAAACTGAGAATACTGGAAATGTTTTGTTGTTGATTGATAACGCCCCAAGTCATCCTTCAAACATTTCACTAGAAAGAGAAAATGGAAAGTTTTAAAGTTGTTTACTTACCTCCCAATGTTACTTCAGTCTTCCAACTGATGGACCAAGGGGTCATTGAAAGCTTCAAACGATATTACAGAAAGGCATTGCTGCATATGGTAATGCTTGTGAAAGAATGTGAAAAAACAATTCAGCAAGGGTACACTGAAATTAACTTGAAGGATGTTATGTACAGTACATGGCAGCAGACGAAAAAGTGAAGACATTTTTAGTCTCTTTTACGTTTTATTAAACTGTAAATTCGTCAGCCCACCACATTTTAATTTGCAAGTAATTTCTACTTATTCATAAACTGAGAGAAAAAAAAATTTTTTTTTTTCATATTTTTCATAGATATCTTTCTTGTAGAAGGGTTCATTTCTAACTAGATTACATGATAATTTTACAATTGTACTGATGATTAGGTAAACTGGCAGAGTAGGTCCAGAAGCCAGTTGAGAAAGAGGGGATAGTCTCAAAAAAGAAAGGTCAGTGATAAATAGGCCTGTAATTGATGCAGTTCATAAAATTGAGTAACCCTTTCAGTTTTATCTCTTCCAAGAATTCGGTATCACATTTCTTACTACTTAAACAATGAAGAATGTTTGTGTGCTTGCATAGCTACAGAAAATCTGCTCAGTAAATCCATGGGGTATTATAACCATGAGAAAATGTATGGAAATATGCATAAATTAAAATTTTTTTGGTGTTTATGAACTCATTATATCTGTGTTTGTTATAACTGAGTTCAACAGTATATTCATATTTAAAAAAAAATTAAAATTATCATTATAATTATTTGCATTGTTGTAATGTTAAGTGTGGTGATTTTAAATTACTCACAAAATTGAATTATTCGAAAATTAATTTTTTTCATTCTAGATTCAAAGAAGGAAAATTGTTTCGGAGACTGGTTTAGTCGTCTACTATTAGATGAATATCTTGGATACGAAGATGTATTGATGGCTAGTTTGAAACGACTTGCAGAAAAAGAAGAAAAAAGGGGTAAAATTATATGTGTAGTTCTTTAAAAGCTTTAATCTTTATTGATTATTTGTAAAGAATAAATTCTCAACAGTAAAGGATGCTGAGTATATTACCAGAAAAATTGAAATCTCAAAAATGTTAAATATTTTAGGCAAGAGATGCCAATTTTAACACTGAATATGTTTTAGAATGTCATGTTTTCCATTAAATGAGTAATTTAAGCATTGCCTATTTAAAATTCTTTTTTGTTTTTTAATTTACTCTATGTTATTTTAAATAACAGTATTGTCATTTTAGTTTGACATTGATTATTTTTTATTATATTTTTAAAATATTTATATATTCTATGTATTAAATTAAATAATCGTAATAATATTATTTAGAAAATTATTATAAATTGCAACAGAAGTATGGGACATGATACTCACATTTCACTAGCTTCTGGATCCTAGCTAATATTTAATTTTAACTGCTGATTAAGGCCAGGTATCAATAAGCACGTATTTGTATGTGTGTGAGGATCATATAAACATATCACCTTAGGCAAAAGTTTAGGTTGCCTATGCCTAAAATCATTCCTTGTCTCATTGAAAGCATTTTTCATGACTTACCATTGAAATGCAACACATCTTCAATATACTTTCTATGTGAAATCATAAAACTGATTTACATACACCAGTTTTAAAATTCAAATATAAGCAATTTGCAATGTCATATTAATAATTTTGCTGTATATTACATCAGCTTAAAAAGAGTGACATATTTCATACACTTTGTATTGCATTGATTTTCTATATATAAATTAATATTAGTACACATTTTCACTAAATTATAAATCATTACTTTAGTTTTTGTGCTATTAATTAGTAAATTTAAAGATTTGTTTAATTTAAGAATGTCAGATTGAAAAATATCCAGACACTGATTGGCGTTATAATGCTAAATAATTACAGTAGAGCATCGATTATCTGACCCCCGATCAACCGTCACATTGGTTAACCGACCATGTTCTAGTTGGCAAATTCAATTGTCCGCTGGTGATGCGGCACTATAATATTTGGCTGTGTCTTGGCTCCTTTAATATTATTTTTGTTAAATTTTTGGTGTTTTAGCTGGCACCACTGGCTCGACCACAAAAGGGATGCCAGTATTTAAACGAGACTTAATTTTCTAATTATGAATGGTTGTTTGTTGTGTAAGCAATAAAATAATTTAAAAATAATTTTTAACGACACAATAGCGACGATTATTATTTTAAAAAAAAATTTGTTAGGCTTAACATCGATGAGAATTCAACGCGAAGTACGTTAATAGCGATATACTAATATACTAATTACATGGGATATAATAATACTGTAAGGTCTCGTTTTATGCGGTGGATACGTTCTACAGAAAAGCGCATATAAAAAATTCGCANTAGGTCGGTTAGGTACCATTGTCCATTGATTTTAATAATTATAAGTAAATAATTTAATTTATTTTAGAATATTCTGGAAGAAAAGATCGGCCCAGAGTGAGACTCGAACCTACAATTTTTACAGTGCAGATGTATTGCCAGTTATAGTATTCAGACTTCCATCTGATCTATTTAATGACTAATTTAGATATAACTATACAGGTCATTTATGATGTTGATTGGAGATGACTTGCACCCATAGCTCCTCATCGCTCACTCAGCTTATACTTTAATCCCAGCATATGATATGCCCATGGTATGACATATATATATGCCATCATGGTATATGATATATAGTCTATTTAGCCTTATTAACCCAATAAAGGAATCTGTCTATTCATTTGATATTTGAAGTAATTATCAGATTGATTGTATTATACATATTAATTTAATTATAACTATGATTTGTAATAGATGATGGTTTGCATTAAATTTAATAGTCAGAAATCATTTAATTAATTAAATTATTCTAATTGAATATAAATATTGACTCAGAAATAATTTATTTATTATTTCCGGTTGTATATTTTCTTTCAATTGCCCTAATTTAATCAAGAAATTAAATTTAAATCTTGAAAGAAAATATTGACCTAGAGCTTAAATTAAAACTATGCAACTCTTCCCAAACAACGTAATTAGTAATATGTTAGGCAGATAAGTTACTAATTATATCATTCAGGTTATTGCTCCATCACTTCTGAATGCATTATATATGTAATTTATATTGGCATACAACCAAACAAGTGATTTGTCATGCTGACTAAAGACTTTCAGACACATTCTGGAATTGGGGAATGTCATCTAGCTCTTATTCCAAATTAACAATAATAATTGAATTAAAAAATTGTAGAATTTTATATTATCTAAAAAAATCTGGAATATTTGGTTTACATTTAGACAATATTTTGAGTTGTTTTTAATGCATATAATTTATATCAGTTCAGTACTGCAAATATTTCTAATTCTGGATTAAAATTCTTAATAGATTATTGTTTTAGGAATTCTTAAAAAAATAATTGCCTTATTTTCAAAATCTTATGTTAAATTTATTAGCTTTATTGTTTTTAAAGTGGCCGAATGCCAAATGTATAAGGTTAAGGTGGCAGCTTACCATTCTGGGGACTTGAGATTGGATTCTGATGGGTTTGAAAAACCCGAGGAATTTTTTGGGGGTGGTTTGTCTGGATACGTTTGGCCTTATCCTTCGTCACCAGACCACCCCATTGTGGCCCTGACCAAACTCATAATGGCTACTATGTTCCACGTAACTGATAAGTGCAGATAGCTATTGTTACAAACATGACATATAATTATAGTAAAGTGACTACATTCTATGAAATGAGGCCACTTGTGTCATTTCTCGTGGTAAAATTTGGATGTTAGTACTCCTGTCTTGAAAATGCTGCACGATACAGGAAAAAGATCAATTATGAAGTTGTAGAGCATGACAGGTTTAGTATGAAAGGACATTCTGTGTATTTGAGTGGCTTGAATAGAAAGTTTGAAATGTTAATGTGCATGTTAAACATGGATGATAAAATGAGTTTTTGCATGTTTATTTACAGTGTGTGTTATTTATTTTCATATGTCTTTGTGCTGCATTTGTTACTGTCTTTTATTTGTTGTGTGTCAGTGTATTAGGACTTTACTATTCACCCTGTTATAAGCAATATATTGTATTTTCGAAATGGTCCCCTGTAGCTTGGTGCATATAAAAATTAGTTAAAATTAGCATTTTATTTGATATTGAAAACTAACAGAAAAGAAACCGCCTTTCATTCCAATTGATTTGGATTGCCAAAGATTTCCCATATTGGTTAATAAAGTTTATTAAGGATGTATAGTTGAAAAAGTTAAGAATACTACAATATCTGGTGTAATGGATTTGAGTTTAGACTCAAAAATTTTCTTGTAAATACAAACATCTAAAAACCCAATTATTAATTTAAAGCCAAACAATTGCTGGATTATATCAGGCCACATTAATGCTACTATTAATAATTAAATGTTCAATAATTTTGTTTAGAGGTAAGCTTTAGGCATCATTTCTTGATAAATTTGATGATTATTACATATTATAATACCTTAGAAGATTTAACAATTATAATTATATAATTATTGGAAGCGAAGATTTGAAGAAGTCTGAGTAACATAACTGGCAACACACCACACACACAAGCAGGGGCCTTAGTCTTGAGTTTTTCGTGTTACAACTCCCAACGTGTTGAAGGTGTCACGTGGTACCATCTCACACANAACAGAAAATTTATACTTTGTTACAAATATTATTCATAAAAAGTTCGAGAAACGATGAAATTTATAATTAAGATAAGTCAGAATATTCTTTGAATTTGTCACATGCATTTAATATAGTTAGACGAAACAATAAAATTAACGAAGTTTTGTATACCTTTAAAAAAGAAATTTTCACAAATCTTGCTTAACAAATTATAAAGTTTAAATGTAAAAGTTGTTGAACAATTTTGAATAAAGAATATTCTCCATAGATCACTCCTATCAGAATTTTTTTTAAAAAATGTTTTAGTTAGAATTGACAGTTCTTTCTGTCAATAGACATTTTGTGCTTTTGAATGTCAGTTCAACATCTGTGTGTTAAGAAACAATACTTTTCAAATTTACAGAAATTTCATGTATCCAGTTTCATCATGAATATATCTGTAAATATGTTTAATCAAATTTGTATGACCATTTTTCAAATTAAAAGTATAGAATTCTTGTATAAATTATTTAACAATCAATAATACCGTAAATTCCTTTGAATGTAATAGTTATATATGTTATAAATAAGAATTTCCATACATTTCATCGTGGAAATTGTTTATCAATATGTGTCGGGAAAAAGTAATGTTACATTTGTACTGTAATGTTTTCATAGTAAACTATTTTTTTTAATCCTTTTTGTTTTTTGTTAAAATAATATTACCATACTAATGAAAACTATTTCTAGATGCCTTGTATGTGCCGTATACCTGGTTGCGTAGAAAAATATATATCCAGTGTCTATATTTAAGTTTTTTTTGATTTGAAAAGCAAACCAACGGATTAGAGAATTTGTAGAAAAAAATAACTTATTATTTAAAATGTTTTAACAATTATGCATTAAAAAGTACGAATTATGTTTAGGTGAAAATATATATTAATTGTTAACTAATCTGCATTTCCACTTAGCATATTCTGTTATAATATATATATATATATATATATATAACATTAAATACAAGTTTCTTTAAGGTTAAAAATACTGTATTGTCTAATAAAGAATGTAAGAAAAAAAAACTTAATTCGCAATTTATATTTGTTGTTTTTGATTATTTTATTATTAAAGTAAATGTACAAAAAAGCTTAAAAAAAATACAAAACAGATAAAAGTTACTTCTTGATGTTTAAAAATGTCTCGGCATTAAAATCTTTGCTATCACGTAACTTAGTTTAATGTTAAAATTATTGCAAAATTTTCAATTAATGTCAATAGATACAAGAGCTAGTGAAATTATAAATAAGTGCCTTTTATCAAGTTTTAGATGAAATATCTATAACTGTTATATAATGTCTGCCCGCTCTCACAACAACAACAACAACAACAATACAAAGTTTAGGCTGATCGATCAACATTTCCGATTTTAGTAGGTTGACGTCATTTAGCTGACCAATCAGCGCGTTGTGCCATCTGAATATTTAGTCGCACGTCTAGATCCATGGTTCCCAACGTGGGGCACACTCCCCATAGGGACAATTTGAGAATGAATTATTGACAGTGAATTGTTCTTATATCTTATTATTTATAAATTAAGCTAAGAAGTTTTTTAAATTTTCCTCTTTCCTTGCTCAGTGTCTTTTCTGTTTAGAATCTAAACTTGCCACTCCATTGTTACTAAGAACAAGTTAAGTGGCTTCATTGTACGTTGATAAGTCTCGTGATACTAGTGAAGATGTACGTTGATAAGTCTTCTGTTCTTTTATTTTTCTCTTTAAAAAATGCCATGTTCTTTGGGAACTTTTTTAAACCGAGTTAATGATCTTTTTGGCTTCTTCCATGTAAATAGGAGTTTACTTTTTAAATAAGAATCCTGATGCCCCCTGTGACATATGAGAAAGGTTGGGAACCACTGCTCTACACCAAATTACTTAACATTTAATTATTCACAGTAGCGTTAACATAGCCCAATATAGTCAGGTATTTGTTTGACTTTCAAATTTTTATGAATGACTTTTTCAGCATTTATTTGAATCTTGCCTCAAATCCATGGTGCACACGGAAAACAGGCTATCTTAGTGTGCATAGCATTGAAACAATCAAAAAATACACTAAAACATTGATATACTGCCTTCCCCTAAACAGCCTTCTTAAAGAATCAATGAATACATGTGAATAGATCTTTCCCATAAATATTAAATAAAACACCTTTCAAAAATTTAATAACATCAATGTCCCTAATATACAAGTTACTATGCCAAATTTCATTTCTTAATCTTTACCCTTCCTGAGATATTAAATGAAATAGGTGCCAACACATACACATCAATAACTTTTTTGTTTTATCTGCCGTTTTCTTGGTTCAGAGTCTCAAAACATTGCGATCTCCATAAAATGTGAAAAGTCAAATTTGATTTGATTACAATACTTTACTGTTTTATGTTAAAATGATATGATGATGTTCAGAATCTTGATTTAGAATAGTCGTAAAAATATACGAAAAAATGTACAATTAATTTAGATTTTAAATCCTATAAATTCAGAATATTTTCATATTTTTAATTGTTTATAAATTTAAATTACACATAATATAATGATTCATTTAGTATTTAATAGTGATTTATTTTACAGAATTAATATTTAACCCTTCTTTGTTTTAATTTAGGATTTGTAAGAAATGTTATTAGCGGAGAGCATCACACCTTCGTCAATTTAATGATGAACGAATATTATTTGTATATTTTGGCTGCTGCAATAATGATTATTTTTGTAAGTGAGCTTTTTATGTTCATAATTCAATAGTGAAAAAATGAGTAAAATAATGATCGTAATTAATTTTATATTGTTTTTTTGAATATAATAAATTAAATTACTGCATGTTTTCTTCCTTTGCTTTTTACTGATTATTTCATTAAATAAAATGAAATNCTTATCGACAAACATAAACAAGTGAATATGACCTACTTCCGCTCGCCTTTCGAGTTCACTCGAAGGGTCTAACTCGAGACTACCGATTATGTGAGTCATAGTAACACGAGTGAGTTCGATGATGTCAGTTCGAGTACAACACGAAAAACTCGAGACTAAGAGCCCAGGAGTTGTGGGTTCGAGTCCTCCCTAGGGCCGATTCTTTTCTTCCAAAACCCTCTAAATTAATTAATTAAAGTATTAATTTAATTCATCCGAGACTGCATATTTCTCAATAAACAAAACTTACTCTAACACCTTGTAAACGTGCAGCCAAATTTATTAAGTTCCTAACGTTTTCAGTCCTGTTAAAAGACCTTTATCAAGAAAAAACTTTAAAATTTGAACCTAGTACATTTGCATAAACGAATAGGCTTTTCATTTACGCAAATGTACTAGGTTCGAATTTTAAAGTTTTTTCTTGATAAAGGTCTTTTAGAAAGTTAATAAATTTGGTTGCACGTTCATAAGGTGTTAGAGTAACTTTTGTATTAATTTAATTATAATTATTAAATTTATCAAGTGATGCTACCTAACACCTACCTCTATACCTATGGTTTCCAAGGTGAGGACACTCCCGACAGGGAGACAATTTGATTTTTAAGGGGGGCAATTCAAAAATGAGTTATTAATAGTGAATTTGAAAGCCCATTAATTGTTCTTATATCTTATTATTTATAAATTAAGCTAAGAAGTTTTTTAAATTTTCCTCTTTCCTTGCTCAGTGTCTTTTCTGTTTAGAATCTAAACTTGCCACTCCATTGTTACTAAGAACAAGTTAAGTGGCTTCATTGTACGTTGATAAGTCTCGTGATACTAGTGAAGATGTACGTTGATAAGTCTTCTGTTCTTTTATTTTTCTCTTTAAAAAATGCCATGTTCTTTGGGAACTTTTTAAACCGAGTTAATGATCTTTTTGGCTTCTTCCATGTAAATAGGAGTTTACTTTTTAAATAAGAATCCTGATGCCCCCTGTGACATATGAGAAAGGTTGGGAACCACTGCTCTACACCAAATTACTTAACATTTAATTATTCACAGTAGCGTTAACATAGCCCAATATAGTCAGGTATTTGTTTGACTTTCAAATTTTTATGAATGACTTTTTCAGCATTTATTTGAATCTTGCCTCAAATCCATGGTGCACACGGAAAACAGGCTATCTTAGTGTGCATAGCATTGAAACAATCAAAAAATACACTAAAACATTGATATACTGCCTTCCCCTAAACAGCCTTCTTAAAGAATCAATGAATACATGTGAATAGATCTTTCCCATAAATATTAAATAAAACACCTTTCAAAAATTTAATAACATCAATGTCCCTAATATACAAGTTACTATGCCAAATTTCATTTCTTAATCTTTACCCTTCCTGAGATATTAAATGAAATAGGTGCCAACACATACACATCAATAACTTTTTTGTTTTATCTGCTGTTTTCTTGGTTCAGAGTCTCAAAACATTGCGATCTCCATAAAATGTGAAAAGTCAAATTTGATTTGATTACAATACTTTACTGTTTTATGTTAAAATGATATGATGATGTTCAGAATCTTGATTTAGAATAGTCGTAAAAATATACGAAAAAATGTACAATTAATTTAGATTTTAAATCCTATAAATTCAGAATATTTTCATATTTTTAATTGTTTATAAATTTAAATTACACATAATATAATGATTCATTTAGTATTTAATAGTGATTTATTTTACAGAATTAATATTTAACCCTTCTTTGTTTTAATTTAGGATTTGTAAGAAATGTTATTAGCGGAGAGCATCACACCTTCGTCAATTTAATGATGAACGAATATTATTTGTATATTTTGGCTGCTGCAATAATGATTATTTTTGTAAGTGAGCTTTTTATGTTCATAATTCAATAGTGAAAAAATGAGTAAAATAATGATCGTAATTAATTTTATATTGTTTTTTTGAATATAATAAATTAAATTACTGCATGTTTTCTTCCTTTGCTTTTTACTGATTATTTCATTAAATAAAATGAAATGTTATCACTACAATGAAGTAAATGCAAAACAGTTTACTGACATACAATAGATAGAACTTTTGATTTATTTAAAAAAAAAGATTTTTGAACTGTCCGCATCCTTTTGGAGAGAAAATTCTTTGATTCAGCTGTGAAAAATGTTTTCAAATACTGAAAACAGACTTAAAATAATAGGAAGAAATAGAATTCAAATTAAATACAAAAGAGATTTTATTATATTTTAATTTTATACTGTGTATTTCAAAGTAACTTAGTATTTCCTTATATCAGACATGGGGTATCTGCAGCCCAAGGACTGAATCATGATTTTTTTGTGTGGCTCACATACTATCAAAATTCTTAAATGTATTTGTCATCAATAATTTGCAATAAGTCATCTACGTTTTTAAAAGGAATAAAAATTATTTGTGTTACTTGAATTAATGTCGCATATAATTAAATTTTAAGTAGAATTTATATAAAATCTGATGTTTTTAGTTTTTCAGTTAACCTTCTCTTGTCAAAACATTGCTGTGCGGCTCTTCGCTGTAGAAAAATTGCCTAGACCTATTTTATACTATTAAAAATTTATTCTTTACATTATATAATGGCTATAATAAAAATAAATCATATCCTGTTTTATTAAACTACAAAAATATTTTTATACATTTGACATTATATAGCAGGTTTGACCAAATCTTTCACAATAAGAGCCATATACCATGTATCAAAAATATGACAGAGAGAGAGCTACATTCTGTATTGGAACAGTATTTTATATATAATCAGTAGACTATATATATATATATATATAGAGGAATAGCACCAAAGTTGGTCAGCAGTAAGGGTCCAGAAGAGCAGCATAGGGCTTGTGAATTCCAGTTTGGCCATCATAGTCATATAACATTTATTGAAAAGTATGTAATAGCATATAAAAAGTAGATATCGCTTGTTAGTTAAAAATTAATATATAGTAATTTAGATACAGATGTATTTAAATTACTGTATACCATTTTTAGATGAACAATAATTTAGATGCTGTAGTTTAAACAGACACTGTAACTATTGTTCTGTACTTATTGGAGTGGTTTTAGACTTTTGTAGAGATACAATACAGATATAATGATTTGTGTAAAGTATTTTTATGTTTCTTGCCATTATTTTAGGTTTTTTTTAATGCTATCAAAATGTTAAATAGACAAGTTCTTTTTATCCAGTTTAAATCATCCAGTACAAAATATCCAAAATATGAAAAATAAATAAAAAATGAATTTTATGGAAGTATTTTTCTATAAAAAGCATTTTCTATTTACTTTTTGTATTTTGTGTCAATTGAGTTGTTGAAACAATAGAGAATATTTTACACATTGCTGTAACAGTGAGCTATGATAGCGCAGTTTAAGTTTGTTCTACTGTATACTAAAGTACAGACCATATGACATTTGGTATTATGCTACTCTTGGCATAGTGTCAATTGCATAATGGCATATCTTTGTTTTGTTCTGTGTTGTTAGCTTTCTTATAATTGCTTTGTAGTCTATGTTTATATAGATATTTTGATGTTTCATAATCTGATTAAAAAAAAAAAAACACAACTAAACTGTCATTTAATTGTATCATTGCTAGTTCATTTTGTTTGATATGAGTTATTCTGATTCAATTCCAAAGTCAAATAATGTTTAATATTGAAGTTTGACATCAATACTTCATTGTATTAACCATGATACTTGTGATGAGGAACCCTATTTTGTTCTGTTTATTACCATTTATTTATGTTCTATTTTGTTTATTTTGAGGATTTTTAGTTTTGGATAACTACTTCACACTCTTGATCGTTAATTTGTAATGTTTTGTTTTTACAAATGAGGTAAAAACTGAACAACAATGGCTATTATTCAATAAGTAATTTAATAAATTTTTCAACAACAATGGCTATTATTCAATAAGTAATTTAATAAATTTTTCAAACAATGTATATATGTTAGACTCAAAGTCCAAAATCACTCATTGAGCAAAAAGAATGACCACAACGCATTGTGGCTAACTCAAAACAACCACAAAGCGAAATTCATGTCGTGGCTTTCGTGATATTTGACCACTACATGTTGTGGTGTTTAAGAAAAGCCATAACGCATTCTGAATGTTAGCAGAATCATATGATGCACAGTGATTTGTAACCTTAAAATATTGATTCTAGGCTCGAAACATTTTTATTTACAATTTTTAATTCCAAACAACATTAGTTCTACAAGTTTTCCTAGAAATTTAAATTCATTATGAGCATAAAGTTGATCAAGAAGACTTTCCTTGTTTCCTAACTGATAGAGACCTAATGGATTAATGCTCATAACAACAGCTAAAACATTTCTGGGAGCTGCACGTCCCCTATCAACATTAGGCACCCTAACTAAAACAATCAAGCCAATTTTAACTGCAGAAAATTACCCTAAATTGAGAAAACTCTTCGAGCTCGAGCTCGAATAAAAAAAGTAAGGAAAATGATTCTATGATGCAGATCCCTGTACTATTATTGTGAAATAATAATCAGAACAATTCTTAATTCATTGCTTTTGAATATTTTAATAACTGAAATGTCTTAGGATTTTTAGGCTTTATCAGAGGTATTAATTTACATCTGATATGGAGAGTGCAAATGGCTTAATGGCATGAAGGTTGAGAAAAGCGAAATCCTACTCTGGTATAATATACAGTAATGCCTCAGTTTCGTTGACTTCGGTTATTGCTCGTTTCAGATTTCACCGATTGTTTTCGGACAGATTATCAACAAAAACTGAAGTATCACTGTACAGTGTACACCCATGTACAGTACCTAGCATTGATCTGCATTATTTCTTTAGCTTCTTTTTGATAATCTGAAACCATGCTGTGACTCTTATTTGATTCTTAAACACTATGTAGTGTAATAAATTCAAACACTTGGTGTTCTATCATCTTTATTTAGTTCAGTTGAATTAAATAAAGATGTTAAATAAAGACTAAATAAAAATCTTTAGTTTCTGTTGTCCTATCCTAAAACCCTCCAGTTATAGGGAAAAACAGAATGGTTTTAGGCTAAAACTTTTTCCAGCAAAACTTGTGGACCAATGAGTAATAGCTTCAGAACACAGAGTAGTTTTACCCTAAATATAAGACTACCCGATACATTACTCTGAGAGGTTGAAATTACTCTAGAAAAGGTTAATTACCCTAGAAATGGCAGCACTGGTCAAGAATGAACACAATAAAACTCCGCAAGTGTTTGCAATACGCCCATTGACAAGTTACAACCTATCCTTTGTATCGTAGTTGCATCAGCTAACGTTCAGAATGTGTTATTGCTTTTCTTAATCACCACAATGTGTAGTGGTCAAATATCATGAAAGTCATGACGTGAATTTCGCTTTGTGGTCATTTTGACCACAACACGTGGCCATTATTACAGATGCCACAACACAAATTTCGCTTCATGGCTGGTTTTACAAACAGTTATGATCGGAATTTCGCTTCATGGCTGTTTTGAAATGACCACAACATGTTGTGGTCGTTTTTTTTGCTCAATGAGCGATTTCAGTCTTTGAGCCTAACATATACAAAATGATGACAAATTAACAAAAATTACTCTTCATGAACTAATTCCTATTAATCATACATTAACTTGTATGATTAATAGGAATTATCATGTCAATAGGATATGCCTTCCTTTCTCCACTCCACTACTTCACTCCAATCCAGTTACACTAATCTGATGTAGTGACATCTTGGTCGCCATCTACCTCATTTACGTGTTCTAAACATGTCTCTCGTTTCACCTATTGGCAATAAACTCTGGATGCAACAAATTGATTTAAGCTTGTTAATGCAATGATTTTATTGGTCTGAGTTATTCCAGATGTCTGTTATCATGTTGTTAATTAATAGTGTTCACCAGAAAGACAGACTGTGATGCTTTAGAATCTTGTTTTTACGTTTGGGAATGTAAAGTAGTTGCCCAAAACTAAATCTCAGATGTAACATAAATAAAGTAGGCTTTCTTCTAAAATACTTGACCTGGCCTTCTTAAACCTTTTCCATTTACTACCTTTATTTACTGGAAAAAATTTTATGTAAACCCATTATATAGGTGTATAAAATAGATGTACAGTATACACAAAATCACTAATGATAAATCATAAAACAATTTATTCCAAAACAGTTCTATTAATTTATCATTTATTACCATTTAAAGACAAAAGAAAATTTGCATACTAATGAGATGGATGTGCTTGTTTTGTTTTACATAAATAATTATATATTTGCTGAATATATGATACTGTGGGTCATAGGACATCTTCCAACATTTCTTAGAGTTGACTGATATCTTGATTTTGCTGAAAACACCACTTTGCATAAACACATATGAAACGTCTAACTTCTCGGAAGCCCATAAATTACCTAACGTGTGTTACGTAAACCAAAAATGAGGGTCAGTCATTGCCTGGCCTGGACTTTTAAATGAGCAAAACAAAATACAAATGAATCTGTTAATGTATAAAAAGCCTGAAATAATTACTTTACTATATGTAAAAATGAAAAAATTCTATTTATTAGTCTTTGACTGACAATGTACAATATGAAATAAGTTAGGAAAAATTCAAATATAAAAAGATACCTTATCTAATCAAAACAAAACCAAGGTGTATACAAAAACTTTCTTGACACTTGGGGAATTTAAAATTAACTTAGAATTATCTTAAATTATCTCCACAAGAACTGATAAGAAATATGAAACTGTGCTATATACAGGAAATTCACAAAATAATCTTACATTTAATTTGCCTAACCTTCACTAAGAAGAAACTTCTAATCTGCTATCCAAATTGAAAGTCTTTTTCCTTAACCTCTCTCGATCCTTAGCTTTTCCTCGTCTTATTCACAGCACATCTCTCTTCTTATAGTGCTGGGATGGTAATGTTACGTTGATACGCCCACTTGAGCATATTTATATACTTACAGTTAGCATTTATTTAACTCTAGCAATTTTCTTTCCTTGTCATGTCATCACACTCATAATTTTTTTCAAATTTTTGGTGATAATTTGGGGGGAGATCATTGTTTTAACTTCTCTTCAGAAGTCTTCCCCTTAAATGTCATTTTCGAGTTGATGGCGCATTTGATTTGCCCTTGGCAGTTGTTGTAGTAAAGTGAGTTTTGTTTTTAGTTTTGGAATTTTGTCTGCAGTAATCTATCCTTAACAGAATAAAATGCCTAAAAATAAATAAGAAAATAATTCCCAAACAAAATTAAACTGGTTGGAATCAACTCCTTACATGTAATACAAAATTTTACATACTCACAGACACCTTCTGTACTGATTCCATCAGTCTGTGTCTGTGAGTATTTATATCCTGTTCCAGCTTCTGAGATGGTTTTTACCAAATCTTTGTATTACCTGACTCACTTTGGGGTGCTATTCAGTTTAAGAAGCACTAAACTACACAGCTAATGAAGTGGACTGTAAAGTTTGTACTGATTTTTTACTTTTTGGGAGTCTGTGAAATAAATTTTGTATCAATATCAAAACCATACCTTTCAAACTTTTCTACCTTGGATTTATTTAAGATAAACAAACAAACATTTTTGGTTTTTGAATAAACTGAAAACATTTATTTATTTATTTTAAATAATATGACCCAAGCTGGAAAAGTATAAATGGTATAGTTTTGATGTTAGTTGTTCCAGTATTAATACTTTGAATTTTGTATTAATGTATTTAGTTTGTTATGCAGTAGCTTAATTTTATTACATCTTAATTATGTAAAATATAAACTTTATGATTTTATGTATATTTAATTACAGACTCTTGCTATATCCATGCTCTTAAGATATTCTCATCATCAAGTATTTGTATTTATTGGTAAGTAATATATTTAATTTGCTGTTTTTTTTTTTTACGATGACGATAATAGCAAAGTTTAAGAATTTTTTTTTCTCAAATTGTTTCCTGCTTTTTTTATTACATTCAAATAAAAGAATACATCAAATAAAGTTAATTTAGAACAGTTTGAAACTTTCTTTTAATTTATTTGTACAAATGCATATATTGTTCTATAATGTAGACATACTTTTACAATTATAATTGATTCCTGAAACCACTTCATTAGCTGTTAAGGAAGTATCATAAACTAAACTTTGCTTTCTCATGGATTGAGTTACATAATTGAGGTATTATTCGTGGAAATTTGAACTATTTGTTGCGACACTAAGATTGTCAGTAAGAAAAATATAGTATTTTGTGCAATTATAATAGAAAATGTATGCCAGTTTTCAGAGAAGAGTATTCTAAAGCAAGCAGTCTGAAGAAGAATTTTATTATATGAAGTGTTAATAAATTAGATTGACAATATGAAATGAGTGATAGAGGGGGGTCAATACAAGCTATTTTAGTCCTATGCTGTCATTATTGCACAAAACATGGTGTGCAACAATGACAGCAGGCTTTCTCACACTAGACGCATGCTACATAGGTCTGCAAAAACAGTTATGGCAGCGAAGAACTTTAGGAACCTATATCCCATCTGTATGTCATATTGGGTAACCCAGTTCATAGAAGCAAAATTGCTTGTATTGATCCCCTTTACATCTATCTATCTTATTTAATGTTGGATATAACAACTAATGCTTCAAAAAATAAAGTTTATGTGTAAATAAACTTTTACTTAAAGCTTCAAGAGAAGAAAAACAATAAATATGTAAACTATTCATATTATCATTACATATTAATATAATGACAATGAGAATATGCTTGAAATAAAGGCCTTCTATAAATAATGTTACCATTTTAAATTATAATTATGTTAATTATTATCTGAGAAGTATGCGACATACACCAATTAAGAGTAACCACCCAAATTTTGTCCAATCTGTATTCAAATTTTTTTTCGTCTAACTCTAGGAAGTGCCATAAATGAAAATGGTGATTTCACAAAAGAGAAGGCGTTTTGTTTTCTTCACTTTGCAGCGTCTGAATCACTTGTCATGTCATATCATCAAGTTTTATTGTTTACATGTATATATTTATTTACTTTTGTTTCTTTTTGATATATGTATTTAAATGTTTAAGCATATGTATATATATATATGTTACAGTCAAAACCCGTTTTTAGTTAGAACGCGTTTTAACTAGTTGAAACTAGTTTATACTGAATGTGTTTGTTAAAACCCGTTTTGTCTAGTTAAAACTAGTTTATACTGAATGTGTTTGTTAAAACCCGTTTTGTCTAGTTGAAACTAGTTTATACTCAATGTCTTTGTTAAAACCCGTTTTGTCTANGCTGTGCGGCTCTTCGCTGTAGAAAAATTGCCTAGACCTATTTTATACTATTAAAAATTTATTCTTTACATTATATAATGGCTATAATAAAAATAAATCATATCCTGTTTTATTAAACTACAAAAATATTTTTATACATTTGACATTATATAGCAGGTTTGACCAAATCTTTCACAATAAGAGCCATATACCATGTATCAAAAATATGACAGAGAGAGAGCTACATTCTGTATTGGAACAGTATTTTATATATAATCAGTAGACTATATATATATATATATATAGAGGAATAGCACCAAAGTTGGTCAGCAGTAAGGGTCCAGAAGAGCAGCATAGGGCTTGTGAATTCCAGTTTGGCCATCATAGTCATATAACATTTATTGAAAAGTATGTAATAGCATATAAAAAGTAGATATCGCTTGTTAGTCTAAAACTAATATATAGTAATTTAGATACAGATGTATTTAAATTACTGTATACCATTTTTAGATGAACAATAATTTAGATGCTGTAGTTTAAACAGACACTGTAACTATTGTTCTGTACTTATTGGAGTGGTTTTAGACTTTTGTAGAGATACAATACAGATATAATGATTTGTGTAAAGTATTTTTATGTTTCTTGCCATTATTTTAGGTTTTTTTTAATGCTATCAAAATGTTAAATAGACAAGTTCTTTTTATCCAGTTTAAATCATCCAGTACAAAATATCCAAAATATGAAAAATAAATAAAAAATGAATTTTATGGAAGTATTTTTCTATAAAAAGCATTTTCTATTTACTTTTTGTATTTTGTGTCAATTGAGTTGTTGAAACAATAGAGAATATTTTACACATTGCTGTAACAGTGAGCTATGATAGCGCAGTTTAAGTTTGTTCTACTGTATACTAAAGTACAGACCATATGACATTTGGTATTATGCTACTCTTGGCATAGTGTCAATTGCATAATGGCATATCTTTGTTTTGTTCTGTGTTGTTAGCTTTCTTATAATTGCTTTGTAGTCTATGTTTATATAGATATTTTGATGTTTCATAATCTGATTAAAAAAAAAAAAACACAACTAAACTGTCATTTAATTGTATCATTGCTAGTTCATTTTGTTTGATATGAGTTATTCTGATTCAATTCCAAAGTCAAATAATGTTTAATATTGAAGTTTGACATCAATACTTCATTGTATTAACCATGATACTTGTGATGAGGAACCCTATTTTGTTCTGTTTATTACCATTTATTTATGTTCTATTTTGTTTATTTTGAGGATTTTTAGTTTTGGATAACTACTTCACACTCTTGATCGTTAATTTGTAATGTTTTGTTTTTACAAATGAGGTAAAAACTGAACAACAATGGCTATTATTCAATAAGTAATTTAATAAATTTTTCAAACAATGTATATATGTTAAATAAATAAATAAATATGAGTAATCTACTGGAGCTGTATTCTGTAGCTCCCAAAGGATTTAATTGTGAATGAAAGTATTCACTTACATTACAGATAAATCTTACATTTTCACAATTTTGTCATTGTACTGATTTTATGATCATTTATCAATATAATATCTTGCTGATTGCCAGTTGGCAGAGACTATCCATTTTTTTTAACTCATAACTTTTATTTTAAACATGTCATTGTTTAAAAGATATATTTTATTAAAATTTGGATCAGAGTTTCATCGTCTATATTCCAAATTTTTGGTAATTTACTTTCAGTCGGGGTCAAAACATAACTTAACAAAATGGGTTTTTTTCAAATAAATGCTTACTTTATCTTTCTATTTAAGGAACAAAAACTTTTAAAAATTTGCTGCTTTTAAATTTTAAATTAAATTTCGTTTACTTTGAGGCTGAAGACTGTTTTATTTTCTTTAGATTTGTTTTTAAGAAGCTTAGAACGGCATTTCAGATAATTCAAAACATACGTTGTGAATATTTTATAATTTTGTAGACTTCTATAATACATTGTAGAATAATACATTAATTAAACATACATTGTATTATATGTTTAATTAATGCTAAAATAAAAAATTCATATTATTTAACTTATTCTTATGAAGATCGTTGCACACACAAAGTTCTTATCACACACGGATTATTAGACTATTACAATTATACATAAAAACAAATAAATTTTGTAAAAATTAGAGCAGTACCCTACGAAATTTGTCTTACGCATAATACAGTAGAGCCTCGAAAACTCGGCACTCAATAACCCGGCACTCCGGATAACTCGGCCACACCTTGGCAGGGCAAAAAATCCTTAGTTAATTAATTTTCATTATAGACAGCTTTATAAAAGTATAAAAGCTCTCATAAAGTATTTTTCTGGGGTCTGTCTTATTAGGTAAATTACTGTATACAGTGTATTCATTAATTTTTATTTTCATGTAGTAAAGGCTCTTTGCCTTCATAAAGGACGTACTTTTCCTTTGTTTAAGGGTATTTGGGCAGTTTATTCTCTGTTGTATTTACAAGCAAACAATACATACAAGTACAGTACAATATTTTCTGAGGAAACACCCATACTTATCCTTTTTTAACCCCATACCCGATAACCCGGCATTTTCGCAAACTCGGCCACCCTTCGGTCCACATTAGGCCGAGTTTTCGAGGCTCTACTGTAATAATAATCTAACCGAAGAGAGAACCCAAGTTCCAAAATGCATTTTAGTTAATTTGTAATATTTTTGTAATAACTGTAAATTATATTCGTTAGCCTTTATAAATAAAGTGGAATAAATCATTTTCAAATACTAATTCGTTTGTGTGTGATAAGCCCTGAAATATAAATTACAACAGTCTTTGTTTATGTAAGAATAAGTTAAATAATAATAATAATATAAGGGCAAGAAGCAGAATTATTAATGTTAATAAGAAAATTTAATTTGAGTCATTAAAAAACTGAAATAATAATAATAATATCTAATAAATCTTATACTAAATTATAATGTATAAATCTTTGATTATTAAAAAAATTGATTCTTGAAAATTTATTATATATTTATTTAATATTTATAGTTATTTTTACGTAAATATATAAAAGTTATTGCTGAAATAACTTACGATTATTTTAAGCCGTAAATTTAATTTCTAGATAAAAGTTACAGCTAAAGAAAGTTTTTTTTTGTTATTTTCTTTGTTGCTTTAGTTAAAATGTATAAAAGTTTAGTTTTAAAATATTTTAAATTTAATTTTATTTGCGCGTGTAGCTTACGCTAATTAACCTTAATTAAATATAGCGTCTCGTCTTCGAATCTTCGAAGGTTAATTAATTATCGGATAATGGTGCTTATTTTTATGAGTTGCTGATGCTAATTAATAAACTTTTGTTAGTTTCCAATGTAAAATTAGAAGTATTTTGCTGCAGTTGGATTGCCAATTCGTTATGCATATTATAACAAGTAAAAGAATTTTCTATTAATATTAGTTTATAAGTTTCTTTTTATTTTTTAACTACAGTATTATATAATTTAACTTTTTTCTATGATTTGTATGAAGATACTATGTTATAATATTTGGAGTTAGTAATATTAATCATCTGTCATCATGTTTTCTGTAGTATATTGATATTATCATCTT